TGCATTAAATCACAACTCAGTAACTCTCATTCTTTCTTTATCTGTAGCATATATCTATCTTCATGCTTTCATCTAGACACTCACTGAACTCGATCTCAGGTCTAATAGCTTTGGTCATGATACGGGGTATCTAATCGAAGAATTACTTGAACGGAATAAAAACAGAAGAAAACCGTGAATGGCACTGTTAAATGGGTTTGGATGGTGAATTAATCGCTGATGGTGATCATGCGAGTACTTTTTGTTGTCTTACCATTTTTTGATAGAAACAATAAATAATACTGCATTTCTGAAACGTAATATGTTTTGATTTATTAATGTTTCGTTAGTAGTTTTAGTGTTTGGTGAGGAGAATGCTGATACTCTTAAAAAATTTAGCTCTTGGAAGGTATGTAAAATTCGTGCAAAATTAAGCTGAAGTTTTTCATATGAATATTAAAACTTGTAAAAGCTGGTCAAAGTCAGATTGTATTAATCAATACCGAGATATTCTATTCTTATTTAATAACAACTTTATTATTAATAATTGGCGTGACGAATACACTCATCATCAATTTTATCCTTTTCAGTTGAGTGTTTTTAAAATATCAAAAATATGGGTATAGATGTGGACGTTGTATGTATTTCACATACCCACCTATGTTTATACAATAAAACCTTCATCTCCAAGATGTGAATGGATCAATCTCGTGTCTGATAGATTCTTTTCCTTTTATAATTGCTAATGTACTTCTAGTTGTTTGATAAAATCCTTTATTATATTATAATCACAGTTAAAATTAAAAATTAACAAAAACAATCAATAAATAAAAATGAAAAGTAAGTTTTCTTGTTTGCACTGATAAGAATCACATTTAAATTTGATGTACAATACAATTAGAGAGAAAAAAAAAGAATTCAAATAAATACTAAATCAATCAAATAAATAATGTTTATTTTATGCTTCATTACCAAATGTAAGTAACACAGAAAATTTTTCACAAAAAATATGCCAAGTTTTTGCTTTATGCGGATTATCCAATTCTTCACGTTTTAATAAAAGTCTAAAAATAAAATAAAATTAATTTATGAAATCATTTCTTATATACATACGAATTATTTTCAATAAATGATGTATTAAACCAAAAATAAAATGCACAATCATCATAACTTTGGAACTTTCTAATAAAAAAAGAAACAGAAAAACATCTAACTAATATTTAATTCAAATATTTACTTTGTTCGTTGAGAAAAACATTATTTTAACATCGCCTTTCAATGGAGATAAACGAATATAGGTAATAGTTACTTTATCTTCTTCTCTATTATGTTCGTTCTAAAATAAAAAATTAAATAAATAAATAAAAATGGTAAAAGAAGTCTTTTACTTTGCAAGAATTTGTGTCAAGTTGATTATTTTGACGTAACTGAAATTTTCCCAATAATTCATCGTAATTGCTAATTGTAAAAAATAAATCACTACCATCACCATTTCCAATACCTAGAAAATAAATATTATAATAGAATAAATCAATATTTTATTCAATTAAATTTATTTACTTGCTATTGCTGTAATAACAATTGAATTTAATGTTACGACTTTCGTTGGTGGCATTTCATGATTATAAATATGAAGAATTTTATCATAATAACCAACATATCGTGTTTGTGATGGTGTTTTAACACCTTGATATTGTTTACCATGACGTAAATCTGTCCGACCTTCAGCAAATAAATCCAATGCTTTCTAAAATCAAGATTTAGATAGATTCAAACTTTATTATGATAAAATTTTATATTTACCTCAGCTGTTTCACAAATACCACTTCTCAATAAAGTAACTGATATCATTGTTCCAGTTCGACCTTTTCCACCTTTACAATGAACAGCAATAACATTTTTTTCATTTTCTTCAAACCATGCAGTTACTGAATCTGCCATACGAATCATATCACTATATCAAATGAATTCATAGAAGCTTTTCTTAAATTTTTGTCTCTATTACTTCAATATTGGTACATTATGATCATCAATTAGAATACGTTCAACTCGATTATGAAAGAAAGTTGTATCATAAAAACGTTCACCTAAACATTTACTTTACTTATAAATCTATCAGAAAAAAGAAATATCTTACTGCAAAGATTGTATACACGATAATGGTTGCCATAAGTTATATCAAGATAATGACCAACATCCTAAAATAATTAAAAATTTATAGGTCATTAATCAATTTTCGATATATTAAATATGTCAGAGCTCGATCATTCACACGGTATATATATACATATTTGTATGAGCAAAAAAAACGATTACAGTCATATGAAAAAATCAGTGTATTCAATAATAGAAATCGTAAGTGCATGTCCCAATCTCTTTTTTCTACGCCCATCACTTACAACAATATCATTTCGAAAAAAAGCATCTTTGCCTTTACTTGGAAATGACATAGCAATAATTCTATCTAAATAGGTGTATGGAGTAGATATTTTTTATTGCAATATTTATTCGATATTACATATATATATATTTATGAAGAAATATAAAAATAAACTTACCACTTATAGAACATAAATCAAGATCAAATCCATTACCAATAGTTCGTTTTTTATTTTGTCCAACTAAATGACGAGAACCTGTTTTAAAATGTTCTCGATGTTGTAAAATACGTATTGTTCGAATTATATGAACAAGACGAAAGAGACGCACTCCAACAATGACTCTATGATAAGATAAAATAAAATAAAATAATATATATATAATGAAAGTATTCATGTATTGATCTTGAATTTCATTACTGAGATACTCATGATTAACTATTCAAATACACTAGACTATCTCAATACTTAATGAATTCCTTTCAGATATATACATACTTTCCCCATTGTGCTTTATGGCCATCATCAAACAAAAGTACAATATTAACAATAAGACCAGCAGTCATGACAACTAAATCAAATACTTCTAATTTCTTCTGAAAAAATTCCGACCTATGAAAAAAAAGAATTAAAAATATAGAAATAATTTCCATTTACCCTTGAACAAAAATACGAAGATCAATATCCATCACAAAAATAACGGATAAAATTGTACTAGTTATATTCAATGCGGGCGTTGGTTTATCTATAGAAAGAAACTCATATATTGGTTATATTTCTTTTTTTCATGTAATAAATACTTAGTGCTATCGAAATAATAATAATAATCATATCGGAAATAAATAATAGTGCAATAACAAGTCGAAAACCAATGCTTTCAATAAAACGACGAAGTTTGTATCGATATAAACTATTCAAATAATATTATATAAATAAAAAAGACAAAGAACATTCATTGATTAGAATTACTTAGTTGCAGTTAGTTTTGCTGATCTTTTGTCATCAACAGATAAAACCCTAAATATGTGATCAGATATTTATATTAATTAACATATTAAATATATTTACGCTTCGTTGAAGTTAATCTTTACTTGACCACCTGAATCAGCATTCATTGATGTTGTTTTTCCAGCTCGATATAAAGGATTGTCCATCTGAAATTATTATTTATTATCACATCGACTAAATCGATAGCTTGTATATATATATATATATTGAGTTTTACTAAACATTGACTATTTTCGTTTGAGAACGAAACAAAAAAAAACGTAAGAAAATAATGCATACACAAAAGTTTGATCATGCAATAATAGATACAGTCGAAAAAAAAACGATGATTTCTAATCATCTTATTGCATTTTGTTTTTTGTCAATATCAGAGATTATTAGTTCCATATATATTATGGAATATAAATATGCTAGACTATATAGAAAAGAAATAATTTGCGTACAAAAAAAATAGACTATACTTATTCATCAATATCAAATAGACTTGAAAAATAATCAAATTTTAAATAGGCGACTGTTGATGCGGGTAAAACTTTGACAAGATTCGGTAATGAACCAAAATAGAAACCACGCCATCCATCAATTCTAATAGTTATCAAATGAATATAAGAAAAAGAATCGAATTCTTTACATACCTCCATATTCTACCCATCATTTCAAACATATTTTCTGGTACAATCTGATATTGTTGTCTTGTTCGTATAAGATATAATGGATATGATGCATACATTGCAGCTAGAGCACTCACATTCGAAATCATTGTTAAAGTTAGAATACCTATGTCAATTGAAATATAAATGTTTCTTGTATTTTGATAAAATTATTGTACATACTTGGTTCTTCTAATGAAGTCACTTTTTCTCGATAGACTCGTCGAAGATATTCATAAAGAGCAAAATCGATACCAGCAGCAGGAAATACTAAACATAGAAAAATTCATTTTTTTTATAAATCATTTCGAACTTCTGTCGTTTTTACCTCCAAGAGAATTTGCAAAATAGCCACGATAAAATACTTTCCAACCTTCACTTCTATATAATTTTCGAATGAGATCCATTATAGAACTATACTGTCTAGTTGTTCGCATAGCAGCTGAAAATAATCACTCTATAGACTATAATTATCAAAGTTTCCTTTTTTTACCTTGAGTTTTAAGTACTTCTAATGGATAAATACATGTTTGAGCTATAAAACCAGATAGACAACCAAGACCAAATAACTCTTTATTTGTTACTGGTGATACAATCTATATATAAAAAAAGAAACAATGTGAAGAATTCTTATCTGACAAAAATATTCACATACAATTTCATCATAATCACTACGAAGTTCACGAAATGTTTCAAAAATGCCTTGTCGAAGAGCCATTTCTGGTGTCATTTTAAATACTGCAATACCATTACCACGCCAAAATGATCGAATACCTTTAACACCACCTCCACCTTCTCCATACAGAGTACTATAAAATATATTGAAGAAAAAACTAAATTTTTCATTTGAAAAACTAATATAATTATACCTTGCTGTTGTTAATAATTTTTTCTTTCCCATCGCTTGCATATAAATTTTTAATCGATCTAATGGTGCTGCCACAGTTCGACTAACCATGCCTGAAAGTGCACTAGCAATAAAATGTCAAGCATAAAATCCATTTTCACGTTCTTTTTCAGTATATGAATTAGGCATTTGTTGTTCATTAATTGTATCTAATTGTACACCATGACGCCATGAACGAAGTGATGCTTCTAATTCAGTTAATGGTGCAAAACGAAAATATGTTTGCCATTCGGAAAATGTTATATTAAAATCTTTATCACGATCAAGTACTTCGATAATTTTTATCAAGTCTTGAGGGTGTGGGTGTGGGTGTGTGTGTGATATAAACATAATACATTTACCCACACAATGGATGGTATCGAAATATGAATACACGACAATGCGATTGTTGCGTCGCAATTGCAAAAAATGGCGATTATTGCGATGCACTTACGCGCAACTGCATTGCAATTACAAAGTCACAGTGCGATCGGAGTTACGTCATAACTGCGTCGCATTTTGTTCGTAGTAGAAAACATGGGAAGAAACACATTATTTAGAACACATGAAACAACTAAGAGTGCGGGCGTGGGTGTGGGTGTGGATATTACCTTTAAACAAGGGACACCTGCACTCACACTCACCCACACCCACACCTACACCCACACCCACACCACACCCACACCCACACCCACACCCACACCCACACCCACACCCACACCCATACACTCATCCAGACCCTCACCCTCATCCACACCCATACACTCACCCACACCCTCACCCTCACCCACACTCATCCCCACATTCTCACCCATACGCTCACCCGCACCCGCACCCGCACCCGCACCCGCACCCGCACTCACCAAAACTCAGCAAACAGAGTTCGGCGATCAAAACATCTTTTTCCTATGAAAAGAGCAGCACATTTTCGTCGAAATACTTTAATAGCAAATGTCTATGCATTTAGTTTGTCGTATTTCTCCGCAAGGTTATTAAACAGTTTCGACAACACTACACATGCAAGCGTTAACAACGTCAGTACAACTCAAATACAGTCTTTCTCCGCATTCAAATCTTCAACTGCACCCTTCACACAAGCTATTTCGTATTTTAAAAGAAAAATGTATATGATTCTATAGGCACTACCGTTTTTTTTGTTTTTTTTAATCAAATTCAAAAAAAGTACGCAAATATACGACAATTCTATCTGGTATTTCATGCTAATTTTTTTTAGTTTCACTTTATGTGAGATCATAGTCGATAGGCTTCTCTTTATTTATCCATTTAAAACGACTCCTCTATCAATATAATGACATGAATTAATTATCAAAAATATTTAACTAAATTTATTTTGAAAAAGTAATTTAATAAGAAAATAAAAGCTAAAACAAATAATTCATATACTGCTGATA